CGTTCGGCTCGGGAGGTGCCAGTGCTCCCCCTGCCCTCTCCAGCAGGGCAGAGCTGGGATCCCACATTTCTAGAAAAGAAGAGTTCTTTATTTCTCACTGTATACAGCACCAGCAGCAGGTTTAGCTCCAATACGTATCTTTGCAGCCCGTCCAGGGGATAGAATTTTTCCTTAAAAGCCTCATTTTAGACTTACAAAATGGCGCTGCAGAAAATTAAGGCCATGAGGGGGTTGCAGCGTGGCCTGGCATAGCGTAAGCTGAGGCTGGAGCACTTGTACTGGGACCAAATGGAAAATGAAGAAGGGTTGGGAAGGTGGCACCGGGTTCAGGGAGGTGCTCCGGACCGGGGGGTCGGGGTGGGACTGGCTCTGCGGGGGCAGATGGGGACAGGAGGAGCACTGTCCCTTTACGGCATGCCCCTCTTCTCGCAGGGCCGGGATGCTGGGGACCAGCACATCGTCGACGTGGTCCTGAAGATGCTGCAAGGTGAGGGGGCGAGCGGGGCAGCGCTGGCCGGGTGGCCACCACTGCATCCTGTCCCACACCGGCCCCCCTCTCTGCCCTACAGAGCAGCTGGCGGAGGTGGCGGTCAGCGCCAGGAGAGCAGCCCTGGGTGGAGTCGGTGCCATGGGACCCCCTGGACCCCCCGGTCCCCCAGGGCCACCTGGTGAGCAGGGCCCACACGGACCCATGGGACCTCGAGGCGTCCCCGGCATCCTGGGTGCTGCCGGGCAGATTGGCAACATAGGACCTAAAGGTAGGTGGTGGGTGGCCATACCCACACCATGCCGGGCAAAAACCCTCCTGGGGGCTGACCCTGCCTCCTCCCACCACGCTCGCTCCCCAGCTCCGTCCCTCAGCAGGGTCCGTGCCCCGTAGCGAGCCCGTCCCTCCCTGTTTCTTTCCCTGCAGGGAAGCGAGGCGAGAAGGGCGAGCGGGGAGAAGCTGGCCGTGGCCACCCGGGCATGCCGGGGCCCCCGGGGATCCCAGGTAAGCCCCTCTCCCCCAGCACAGACCAGGCAGGCAGTGGGGGAGTGCCCACAGCCCCCATGCCCCTTGCCGATGCAATGATGAGCCCAGCAGTGGCTTGGGACCACCTGGCCCATCCCTGCAAACCTGCACGGCTTCATCCCGCAAACCTC